TCAAATTAATTTCTTTACTAATTGGAATTTTCTCTTACAGCTTGAGCCTAAGTGTGTCGCAGGATACCCTCTAGGTGATAGTTCTTGATTACCTTTTGATAAACAATTCGTTATTATTGCGAAATAGGAGCACTATTTATCAATCTGTAATAAAAGACGCGAGGAAATGCTGTCTTTTTTAAGGACAAAAATTTTTGAGGCGAAATACCCAAAAAGAAGTTTGTAAAAAAACGAATCTGCCTCAACAATAGAGAACTTATCTACAAGTTAAAGATCAGTGCTGAAAGCGAAAGACAATTCGATACCAGCCTGCCAAAAAAGGGTTAGTCAACTTTGGAATGTTTAACTTTTGTTTTTAATTCAGAAAAAATAATTAATTAAGTCCACATTCTCTGTCATTGTCCGTTGATAGTCTTGTCTAATCAGTCTCATCCACTCTGGCAAGCACAGATCACAGAGTAACCTCTGTGATCTGTGCTGGCAACATTTTGACGTTTGCACGTCAGACAATGTGAGGTTACGGCAGTCCCATTGTTTTTTCTTTGGTTTTATAACAGATCTGCCCCCAAAACAAATTACCCCTAATTACTGCTGTCGCTGGCAGTTTCGCTCGAGAAAAGGATGCGTTGCCCGTCCGCAGTGATAAGCTTGACTGCCAGTTGTGGTGCATCGATCTAGTGTTGTGTCAGTGGAGGCCCCTTCCAATGCCCCGCATTGGCAAAAAGGGCGTCCGATGACTGTTTTGCACCAGAAAACGATGTGCAATGATATCGAAAAGGACGAGATCGACCGGCTGCGGTCGCAAGACCGCGCCACTATCTGCGACATTGTGGGCTTTGTCGTGTCCATTATCAGCCACTTAGCCGATGTGGTGACCGACTGCAACTTGGCCTACCAGTACTATTTGAACGACAACATCGGCTACTTCTTGGCCACTCTGGGCTTCATCCTAATCCCGGCTGTAATCAACACGGGCTTCAGCCTGCGAATGTACGTGCTGGACCCGGATAATAACCATCGCAGCAAAACGCTGACCAAGAGATTCACCAAGAGGCGCGTGCTGTGCGTGATGGTGCTGGTCTTCCAACTGGCCCCAGTCCTCAGGTACTTCGACGCCTTGCAGTACGCCATCAAGTCGAAAAAGGCTGAACAATCGGGCGACCAGGAGAACCAGAGGAAGTACTACGAGCTGATGGTAAAGGAGGACTCGGACGTGGCGCTTCTTCGGGTGCTTGAGTGCTTCTTGGAGGCGGCGCCCCAACAGATCCTGCAGCTGACCATCATTTTTTACACTCATGGAAAGGACATCAACAACACCCTCACATGTAAGTTGCCATAGAAGAAACTGCCATGGAAAACACTGACTGTCTGAGTTTTATGCAGTTGTCCACCAGCTGTTCTCCATTGGGACTTCCTTTGTCAGCATGGCCTGGTCGATGGCTTCCTATCAGCGCTTGCTGCGCGTCTCGCTGAAGACGAAGCACAACATTTCCTGGCCCGCCACGATAGTTCAATTCATGTGGCACTTTCTAGTCACCGGTAGGAGGATGAAAATGTCCAAAACGCCCTCATTAATCCTTTGGCTTGTGGTAGTTTCCAGGATTCTGTGCATCAGCGTCATTGCCTCCATCTACCCAGTGCACACGATCCTGGTTCTTGTCTTCCATTGGTTCGTTATGACGATCTGGCTCTCTGCCACCAGCTCCGAGAACAACTTCTGTGATCACAACAAACTCTACGACTTCTTGTTTTACTCGATATTCGGCGCCGTCTACATCTTCACTCAGGTTAATTGAATTATTTGGCAAGGCTTCTCTTCGGCTAAGCCGAGTTCTTCTTCAGGTGGTGTTGGTGGAGGGCCCCACTTTCCTCAAGTACCTCATCTTCTACGGCATGCTCTTCGGGGAAAACACCCTGGCCAATGTGCTGTGGATTTGGAGCGCCGGCGACGCCCTCCAAGGCACTCTCTACTACCGCCCCATCATCTACCTGAACATCATCCCCTTCGTGGTCGGGATTATTTTCATGCTGCTCTACTACAAGGTGTTCCATCCAAGCACCGGCTACAACAGGCAAAGGGTGGCGGCCAGCAGCAGTTAACACCACGTTAACACTAATCAGTTGGCGTCGCCGCCAACACAAACCCGCGAATTTTTCATGCTCAATCAAATTGAATTAGAGAAGCCGCTGGCGGACTTACATTTTCATTTCGTCAACTCTTGCGCTTATTTCAACGATTGCGATATTTATTATCAACGCTCGCCCCACACGATATCGATTAATATTTATTTGTGTAGGTTTAGGAGTGTATCTTTGGCTGTTGTGATATTTTTAGTCTAATTTATCCAGTGTTCTTCAGATAGATAGATAGAGAATTAAGGCGATTGGGGGCCTTCGAAGCAGAAGCGAAACGCAGTGTGTTCAAAACGCTTCCCGGTTATTCGATAGTTAAATATATACAATATATTTTATATAAGAACAAAGATCTACAACATTTTATCGATGCGCATTGTCGTCTGTATAACAAGTTTTTTGGATTTTTCAATAAATACCAATCAGTTCGGCAACGTTTCCTTTCCCAATCCAACAGGGAAAAGCTTCTGCAAAATGTCCAGTCCACAAATGCCACAAAATATCCCCTAGGGGGTGTGTTCTGTGGTCTTTACAGAGTTAATTCGCAACCGATCGTGGCGCTGCGAAACGTCGAGTGACAGTTGAGACTTGTCAGACTTGTTCATTTATTGGAGTTGATGATTTTATAATATAAAACAATGCATACACACTTCACTTTGTTTCTATTTCTTTAAAAGCTTGCAAAATTTGATTAGAGCTTAAAGATTATACTGCAGAGTCACTCTCCAGACATTCCAAGTTCGCGCAGGACATGCTGCGCATGGGGTACTTCATAATCTCAGCATGCAGAGCTCATTCCTTGTCTTTATTGACATTGACACTTCTCTTTATCTATGGTTCATTCGCTTGGCGTGTTGAATGTGCGTTCCTGCCAGGACGGTATTCAGAAGAATTAGGCTGGCTTTTATTGGACACTAACTTTTAGTCCTATATGAATAAATGAAAATTAAAACACAGCGAGCATTGCAAAAGCAGCTTGTGTGAGCAATAAAATATTAATTGCTAAGAATATATTTTCTGGCTTGTCAGCAGTTGAATTTTGTTAGTAAATTAAGCAAGGAGTTTTATTGCCTTTTAAGGGCAGTTGTTTAAGCCCGTCAAAACCGTCAGGTCAGTCAGCTGAAAACAACCAGTTTGGTGTCTAATTTTGTTGTTACCAGTTAAACTTTGTTATATTTGAATAAATATTTAAAAAAACAAGGTGTAGGCCATTGATCGTTAACTCGTGTGCTAATCAGCTGGTGCAATGTGCCTGTATTTCTCTACTACACCGCAAATAAAAAGTTCAATCCGGTCCTGGCTTATTTCCTTCCATCGCTCAACAGTTCAATCGCTGAACATCATATTCGTTCAAGGTCAATGAAAACTGAAAAAAGTTCAAAGTACCGCCTCGAAAGTGACGTTGCTGTATAATCTTTATGCTGTGAGCAAAACAAACCTCAATCAGATGTAAATACTAATGTCAACAAAGCAAGTGTCAAATTACTACTTAACTTGTAGTTATAATTTTAGCCACCAGGAGACTTCTGGACTTTTGAACTCCCAAATTTTGATTGATAATATACAGAGTGAGGGAACTTCTGAAGGAAATCTAGTATACAGAATGTTCAGGGAGGTAGGAAAAATATCAGGAAAAAAGAAGAATTTTCGCACAATTTACTAAAAATTTATCTGGTTCGACGAAAATTCGATTTCTATCAGGGCTGCATAATATTCAAGGAGGTAGCGAGCATATCAGGAGCAACGGAGAGTTTTCGCACAGTTTTACTGGTTCGACAAAAATTCGATTACTACCACGGCGGCAGAATGTTCAAAGAGGTAGCGAGCATATCAAGAGGAAAGAAGACTTTTCGCACAATTTACTAAAAATTTCACTGGTTCGACGAAAATTCGATTTCTATCAGGGCGGCAGAATGTTCAAGGAGGTAGCGAGCATATCAGGAGCAAAGAAGAGTTTTCGCAGTTTTATTGGAAATTTTAGTAGAGGGCCGAAACTTCGATTCCTATCAGGGCTGCAGAATATTAAAGGAGGTAGCGAGCATATCAGGAGCAATGAAGAGTTTTCGCAGTTTTATTGGAAATTTTAGTAGAGGGCCGAAACTTCGATTCCTATCAGGGCTGCAGAATATTCAAGGAGGTAGCGAGCATATCGGGAGGACAGAAGACTTTTCGCACAATTTACTAAAAATTTCACTGGTTGGACGAAAATTCGATTTCTATCAGGGCGGCAGAATGTTCAAGGAGGTAGCGAGCATATCAGGAGCAAAGAAGAGTTTTCGCAGTTTTATTGGAAATTTTAGTAGAGGG